GTTCAAAGGGTAGGTACTAAGCCTGTGGCAAGCCTTTCAAATCTGTCCTATGGGGAACGACTAGATCAGCTAAACTTATTCCCACTGTCCTACCGCAGGAAATGTGGTGATCTCATGCTGGCATTTCGTATTCTTAGTAATGACTTCGGTAGTGGTATGTCCTATCTTTTCACCCATGCTAGGACTGACTATTTCCGAGGGCATCACAAGAAAATTCAAAAACGGAGATCGAATCAGCTTAGCGTGAATCTGCGTTTCTCCCATCGGGTTGTTAACGACTGGAACTCTTAACATCAGCAAGTAGTATCAGCGCGTTTAAGGAGAAACTAGATCTCCACAAAGATATCTTCTGCAAGGATTAACACAGGCCAACTGGCCTACTATCCTTATAACTGAAAACTGAATTCAAATAATTTTCTAATAAAATTGGACAAAACTTTTGAGGGTGATTTTCTTGTGGGTAAATAGCCTGGTTTGAGTTGCTACAGCTCATATCAGTCCACCAAGTAAAAAGACAGTGAACCGCAAGAAGATAAGAAAATTCAGTCAAAAGAAATATAAAGTACGGAAAGAGAGAAAGGAAGGATGAGAAAACAGTGACATTCGGTATAGCATCGTTAAGATGAAGATAATGTGTGTATACATCTGCGCCACTGACATCGGTTCCTAGCCATATCACCTAAAGTCTCCAATCACTGGGTCCTCTTGTCGTGCGGACCCCAACCGACTAGTCCACATCACCCCACATGGCTCAAACCAACAGCCAGAGACTTCATACATTGGTGCCATGTTTTAGTCTTGCTGCCTCGAACCTTTTTCCAGCCTCGACCTACTTCAGCCAACATTATGTGACGAGGCAATCGGTGACTAGCCATACGTAGTACGTGTCCCAACCATCTCAGTTGATCAAGGTTCATAACCGTGTCAACTGACCTACATCTTCTCCGTAAAACTCTACACCTGACGTCTGTGTTACTCACGTGGTGACACCATGGAATACGGCCCATACTATGAAGGCAACGGTGGTCAAACACTTGAAGCCTTCTCACGTCTTCCACCTTCATTGGCCATATTTCTCACAGCCATACAGTAAAACAGAGCGGACTGCTACGCAGTACACGTGACCCGTAATAGACAATCGGATATTACGGCGGCGCCACAGGTGGCGTAAGTTGGTGAAAGCCAGTCAACCGAGCCTTTTGTATTCGTGCAGAGATTTCATCGGCCACTGAGCCAGCCACCAGGGTAGGACTGATCCTACTTCCCAGGTAAGTGAAGTGGTCGACACACTCAATCACTACGCTCTCTATTATTAACCGTAACACCGTTGAAGATCAATCCTGGAGCAACAATTTGCATTTGGGTGGTGAGAAACCCATCCCAAACATTTTCAAGTTGCCACTCAAAGTGTCCAGAAGACTCTGCATCTTATCAGTGTCTTCATCTAACAGGACTGTGTCATCTGCATATTCTAGGTCTAACGAAAAGTCTCCTGCCATTAGGTCAACGTCTGTGTAATTAGGTGACGAGAGGGAGACCTCCATAAGAATATCCATGATAAAATTGAATAGGAATGGGGAGAGTGGGCATCCTTGTCGGACACCACTCGATGAGCATAGCTCCCCAGACATCTCATCATAGGCTCTAACACGCCCACAAGTGTTCGAGTAGAGAGCCTTCAATAAGGTTATGTACTTACTCGTCACGCCTTTCAGTGAGACATTGCCATAAGACTTCTCGACCAACGGAGTCGAATTCCGCCTTCAGGTCGAGAAATAACGTTATTGTCGGGCGTCGGTAAGTGTGTCTGTGTCCCAGGACCTGGCGCAGTGTGAATGCTTGGTCGATACACTCGCGGCCGGGTCTAAAGCCTGGCTGCTTGGTTTTCTCGAGCTTGGTGTTCCCTAGCTCCACTCATTGTCGAAGAGTTAGAGAACCTAGAATTTTAGATACTATGTTCGTCAGGCTGATTCCTCTGTGGTTATCACTAGAGGACTTTTCATCTTTCTTGAAGACTAGAATGATCAGTGAATTAGACCAGTGAAAGCAGCTCGTATTTGATTTCCATATACTAGTTAACAGTTCCGTTAACCCGACTAAGAGCACTCTCCCACCATTCTTGTATACCTGATGAGTTAATCCGTCTAGTCCTGCTGCCCTTTCTCGTTTCAAGTTACTTACAGTTTTCTCGACTCCTGCAAGTGTTGGGGGGCTTATCTCAATGTCCCATTCAGGAACCGACTGGATGGCGGGCAACGCAAGGGTGGCTGGAGGCCAGTTAAACTGTTCCTCGAAGTGTTCTGCCCATCGTTCCAGTCGTCTCCCCTGTGAGTGAATCGCAGACCCATTCTTCTCCGCTATGGTCTCACTAACCGTTGTTGACCTTTTCACCCGAGTTTCCTTAATAAGTCTAAATAATTGCCTATTGTTACCAATCGAGGCTACCTTTTCCATCTCTAGCCTTCACTGCCCACCACTGTTCGTGGTCGTTGCATAGACTTTTCTCAACCTACTTTTAAGTTGCGCTTGCTCTTCATTGTACTTAGAGCCTTCAGGAATGCGTTCACGTGCATCCATTAGTTCAGAAGAAGCTGCTGATATCCACTGGCTCTTTTCAGCCACTATTTTGGAGTCGGTTACGGTCTTCAGTTCTGCTTTTACAGCAGACTGGAGATGGTACCAAGTTTCTTTTGGATGAGTGATAGTGTTCTTTCCCTATAACTGCCTAGCCTGTTGATCATTTTGATAGAGGGTGCGAACGTTGAAGGCCCCGATTTGTAATTAGAAACATAGGTATGCAGTTCTGTGGCTTTAGATCGTTGTCGAAGGCTGCAGGGATAAGAGAAATTGATGATGATGTAGTATCGTTAACTGAGGTACATGAAGGAAGATTAGAAGGTTATAATGGGGGAGGTGGGTAGCAGTCTGAAGAAACTCGAGTGCTGACAGAGTTGTGAGGGTGGTTGACACTTCCTGGCTGACCACACCGGGAATGGCTTTTTCTTTTTAAAGTATCTGAAAGAGATTTGGGTGAACGCAGAGCCCGTCGAACATCTGCTTGAGGCCTGTTACACCCAGCTTTTTGTGTATGGTTGTTTTAAACTTTTGTTGCGTTGGCGCCGGATAGTCGAAAATGAAACGACGAATGAATCACCACGCTGGTCCGGCAGACCGTGGGCCATGATGGTGTGTGTTGTTTTTGGGGCCGACCTTTTCTAACCCCCGCTTTCACTGAGAGGGCAGCATCAGCATAACACTACTGGTCATCCAAGGAAAACAACTAACCGCGGTCACAACCCATTCAGCCAGCAGCAGTACGACTTCGCCCTCAGACTCCCATCATATTGTAGGAATTTACACCACAACGGTAATTGCTTTTCGTCTAACCACTATCTAACAAACCTTTTTGGTAAGGTAGGACCTCGAGGGAACAACTTTTCCACCAGCATAGCTCGTTAGGTCATTGTGATATGCGAACCCGACCACCACATTAAGGTATTAGCTATCAGTTAAGCTTCTTATATGAACTATAAGAATAAGACGTATCGTGATATGCCTGCTCTAACGAGAGACAGTGTTTAATTGAAGACAATAAGAAGAAGAAGCAGATCCTATGGCTGAGTATTTTGCTGAGTTCGTTACACTGGAACCTGCTGTGGACACTAATTTAACAGTAAAGGGATTGAAATCCAACAGAATAAACTGTAGATATCGACTGCAATGACGTATTTCAGATATTGAGTACTCTCAATGTAGAAAAATCAATGGAACTGTATGAGCTGTACCCGAGGCTGATCAAAGAGCTTTCACTCTATGTAGCTGGCCCATTGACTACTGTATTTAGACTGTCTATCAGTAAAGATACACTTTCCTGTGATTGGAAGGACGCCATAGTCACACTTATCTGCAAAGCAGGTTCTAGGCAGCACCTATGAAGTCACAGATCGATATTTGACTAGTACTGACTACTAAAAATCTCAGGAAGAGTAGTCAAGAAAGCCATTACAGTTCACTAAGAGAGCAATACTATAGTCTGGTTCGCAGCTTGGTTTTCGCAGAAGTCTAAGAATGATAAAATACCTGTAAACATCATTTTGATAGAATTTAGTAAGGCTTTCAACAAAGTACCTTACTTCAGGTTACTTGGAAAACTGAGAAGTTTCGGAATCATTGGAAATATACTTGCGTAGACCAGAGAGTTCCTTGTTGGTAGGAGACAAAGAGTTGGGATCAATTCTCAACTCTCCTCTTGGAAGTTGGTAAAGAGTGGAGTGCTGCAAAGCACAGTCCTGGGTCCCCTGCTATTTTTCCTATGCATAAATGAGCTACCAAATATCACTAAATCCCCGATAGTTCTATACGCTGATGTAAAAATCTAGTGGGGAATTAGGGATGACGAGAATGCACATGCACTTCCGACAGACCTATACAGCTTGTTTACCTGATCAAAGAAATGGCTGATGCCTGTCAACGCAGATAAATGTGTTAGCATGCACATCGGGCACACAGACGAGAACACCAACAATACTGGTGGGCCTCCTCCACTCTAAGTATTGCCTACAGTGACCTGGAAGTCACAGTGAGTTGTGATTTGAAGACCACGGCATATTGTCGATTGGTTGCAGCTCAGTTTTAGGACACTGTGCATTACGCAGGACGTTTACAAAAATAAGTGCTGATTTGTTCACTGTCCTACATCATTAGTTGGGTTTAAAATAGAAGACTGTACACAATCGGCATATCCTTGTCTGTAAGGTGACTCAGACCTTCTGGAAAGAGTTCAGGGAGAAGCCACTCGTATGATCCTTGGGATGGCTGTCTTGACCTACGAAGGTCGACTTCAGGAGTTGAACCTCTTTTCTTTATCCTGCTACAGACAGGGAAGGTCTAATCATGCTGTGTAGGATTCTAAGAAATGACTTTCAACCTGATCTATTTTCTCTTTTCCTTCACACTAGGTCGGACCACCTCAGAAGACATAGGAGAAGCAAAGAACGAACGTAGTCTCCGTAAAGTACTGGTTCTGTCGTCGAGTATTTAACTTCTGGAACCAACTCCCAGAACAAGTGGTGTTTGCATCATCGATTAATTCGTTCAAAAGAGGACCGGACAAGCACAACGGTCAACTGGGGAAAGATCAATATAGTCTCACGGCCGTCTGTCCTCAAACAACAAATCTGAATCTGTCTTGTACGTTTTATTCGAGCCGCGTTACGCTTCTAGCGAGCTATGAATATCGAAGAGGATAAGTGTGATACTATTTGCGTTGATGGCAGTTTTATGGAGGGTGTACGTTGTTGCAAGATATGATTATGTACTTCGTCTAGGGTGGACAGATTCTGCGTAGTGCCGTCTCACTTGCAGCAATAACTGGCAAACCTGTGGAGGTCCAGAATATACGAGCTGGTCGGTCGAACCCGGGTCTTAGGTATGTCTCTGTTGTTGACTGAAGTTTGGTCTTAGCAACCAACACTTAGCTGGACTTGAGCTCTCCGCAAAGTTGTGCTCAGGTGCTTTATCGTCCTGTACTCTTGGGTCGACGAAGATGCGTTTAATTCCTGGTCCTATTATTTCTGGCTGTTATGAGGCTGACGCCAAGACTGCAGGGTATGTTGCAGGCTATTTTTTTCGAAAGTAATATAAGATCAGTGTCATTAATGCTACAAGCTGTAGCACCGATTCTAGCTTTTGCTCCTAGTCATAGCGAACTTTTGCTACGTGGTGGTACTGATGCATCTTTCGCACCTCCTATAGACTATATGGTTCAGGTAATCTGCGTTATTTATAAGCTCACTGTAACAGGTGGCATCCCACTACTTTAAGAAAATGGGTTTGAGTTACGATTTGGAGGTGATAAGAAGGTGAGTGTGCACTAAACAAAGATAATCAAAGCAGGGGGTTTTATCCATTAGGTGGAGGCATTGTGAAGGTCTCAACTTCACCAGTCCAAGATTCACTTACCCCTATCTCTCTTCTGGACCCAGGAAGCGTCAAATTATTGTTTGGTTATACGTTTGTGGCAGGGAGAGTTCCAGTGAAGGTAGTTTTGTTTTTCCTTTAGTTGTGTAAGAATAACAGATGTTTTGGATAATTTATGGTTTATTCGAAATACGTTTTCCGTAGTATCGGCATTTTGAGGGTACTTTTGGAGTTTCACTGAGCTCCTTTTCTTGAGTTCACATAAAATGGCTACGAAATTACGGAAGGTGACAGATCCTTATTGTGAGCTTCGCGTTTGAGTTGCTTCAGCGGATCATGACTGCCCAGCTTACATTCCAGATTTCTCCTTTGTTTGTTGCGCCGAATTACGTGGATTTTATCGTATTTTATTACCCTTATACATCTTCTGACAATATAAAATGTAGCGGTAGTGTGTTGTACTTGTGACTGCTTGCACTTTGTCTCACTAAAGTTCAAATTAGTTGTATCTCTGGAATCCATTATTATAAATCCTTAAGTAATGTGAATATGAAAAGTCTGTTACTCAAAACTAAATACTTTGTTTTGGATACTTAGTCGATATTCGTTGATCATCCACTGCCTTTATTTGCGCTTTCAGCGCGTTTTCATTCTCACACATTGTGTATAAAACCTTGGGAACTAAATGTTTAGAATCTTATAACGAGGATTTCTTTATCTTAGACCTCATCTGTAAGTGTCGGTGGGATGTGATATTACTTGTTTCGGATGAAGTATAGAATAGCAAGAACAATATATTGAGCGAAGATATTCTTTTCAACGAATCTATTTTCAAGCCGTATTATTGTATATAATATGATGTTTGAAAAAGTATATCTCGTGAGGAAACTTAAACACTATATGACGATGACAATATTAATAAGAGTGATGATGACATAGGTACTTGTGATTATGATAACATTGGGATTATGAATGATAGCAAAGTAGATAATGTAATAACCAAAATAGTTCATAAAACGTATTTAACTCAGAAAGGGGTGAAAAATTGATAAAAGTGGTAAACCATAGAAGTATTATGTAACAGGGTCAGACAAGTTGCTGAAAGTGAAATGAATGTTTTCCGATGAGACAATTAAGTACAGTAAAACCAGAAACTAATCAAAGTAAAGGTAGTTGTAACAACAGTGGTAGTGATAAAGAAAGGTTACAAAGGTCAATTTGACAAACGGAGGTGGGGTGGGGAACTAGTAAGTGTGGGGAAATGTCATGACCATAGTAAAAACAGTGACTATAAATTCTTCTTTTGTACACACAGGTCAGGCTTTAGTTCGTGAATACCTGAGGTCTAAGCTGGTTTAAGGAACTAAAACAGAAAAAAACGTAGGAGTTTTGGGTGAATTCGATAAACAATTTTAAAGTCATTCTTTGAGTTTATTGTGTTGGAAATAGGTCGAATGTTCTAGAATAGAACTTCTAACAGAATTTATTTCACCTTCATGAAAGCAAGCTAAAACATTTCCTCGCATACGTGTGGAAACCATCCTCTGGCTACGGCCGATGTATCTTGCTCCACAAGAGTATAAGAACTGTTAGATGCACATAGAGGTGGCCAGACGAGGAAGCTTATCTTTCACGTAAAAAGAGAATAGTTTACGTCTGATAAAAGTCAATTGAAGTCTTTCTGCGAATAAAGTCCTATCGACTGGTTTGCATAGATGGTTCTTGAATAGATCTGATGCTTGATCACCCTTAAATTCTAGGTTTACGATCAATGTTTTCTTTGGAACTGAGTGCATTACCGGTTTAGTAGTTCTGTATTTTTACCAATGGAACGGCAAGGCTAACCGTTTTTGGTAAGCGTGCTTTTTAAAGACGAGAATTCTGCATTAATGCAATCTTCGCTATTGATATTTCTTAGTCGATGGCAGAAAGAGTGAATAAGACTTTTTTCCTATTCACAAGCACCCAACTATAGAAAGTAGTGTTATTAAAAGCAACAATCTGAACGAAAAATGTTCTTTTCAATAGTTTCTCTTCAGGTTCTACAGCGTAAAAGCAAGCCATGTTTTGGGCAGTTTTTCAAAATGGAGTGAGATCTAGGGATTGTAAAGAAATCGACTTATCTTTTTAAATTAGTCAATATTTGGATAATACATATACAGAAGAATGATATGATGGTGAAGCTAAAAGATAAGGAATACGATGGCAGGAGTTGCCTTTAGTTAGCTGAAGGCCAAGGAAGAATTAATACTTGAACATGTTATTTCTGAATGCATGGTTCAGGCTTGATGAATCTTGTTATGACAACTTCCGCTGTGTTGACCAGGTTGTTGGTGAGTTATACCTGGTGTCGTTTTTAGGAACACGACGAATGACGCTGAAAGCTTTATTAGCATCCATGTGGTGCCCTATGTCGACTAGATGCGCTAGGACTGAGCTTTCACCAATTTCACTCCACCCTTTCCGAATCAAGCTGGTAAATGATATCGTATCCGGAAACGCAACTGCCTAATCGTATGCCCTATGCAACTTGTTCCACAGGAACAGTTAAATTAACATATGCAAGATGAAGAGCTAAGATTAGACAGGTTATCCTTCAATCTCGAACTGGGCATTGGCCAACAATTGAATGGTATACAAAGCCGACATCCATAAAACGTCGTTTTGACTGCTCTAGCTAGGTTTTGTGATAAAATGTAATTTGCAACATCTCCCTTGAGTTGTGGGTGCAGAAACAAAGACCTCTTTTCACTGTCATCAGTTCTCGTTTAGGACCTATGTAGTTGGTATTAGTTTTGATGAACTTGTTAAGATATCCGTTTTCACTTGAAATATCCTTCCTAGGCTCATCGATCCAAGCTGTTGTATCCTACCTTTTTGGGACAATCGTCTGTAAAGTGGCTATACCAAAAGTAGAATATTCAGTTTTCAGTGTAGAAACTTGCACCTAGGTGTCGTCGTAGCATAACTATAGAATTTTTTCACCTGCTATGATTCTCTTTTGTGACGTAAGAAAACATCAAGGTTACATCACTTTTGAACGTGTATTTACATGACGACTTTTCGTAGGACTGCTTAAATTCAGAAAGACAATTGTAGTACTGTGGCAATCTTTGATTTTTATGATTATGCACCTGTGTCGTAGACAGAATACAGGCTTTTAACCACAAGTGTCTTCGAAACATTAATCCCGTATGATGGAGTCACTGCGTGCGTAATGTCCAAGTACTAGGCGAAGGTACCTAAACAGTGATACCAAATCAGTCCATGGAGTTGTGAACCTTCAGTGACTGAGGTGATCCCACCTACTTCGATGAAAAATGTCAGCCAGAGTAGGATTGGGATGGGGAGAAACTCAGTATGACCGAACCGAAGTACAGCACCAGTCCATAAACTTTTGGACATGTTCCCAGACGGACAAACAAAGTTGACGTAGAACATCGGACACCAGTGTATCGGTTCAAGTTGCCACACTACACAGAAACATACGAAGAACAAGTGGATGGAAAAAGAGTGTTATCAAAGTCGACAAAATTGTCTCCGAGAGTAAGCAATTCGAAGATACAAGTTAGCACAAATACATTCAAACTTCAGAAGTTGTCGAAGAGTAAACACAACTGCGTCACTGCAACCGATTTTCAGCCATTTCACCACGAGTCATCAACCACTGATTGCTGTCGTTTTGGAGACCCCAGCCTGACAATCTACATGTTTACACATGATCCAGACTCAGAGACTCCACTGACTGTTGCCACGTCATGGTCTGGCCGCCTTGAAGCATCTTCCATCCTAATCCGACTTCCCCCCATCACCACACATCGGGCTAGTCGGTGGCTCAACATGCTCAGTACATCATCAAGCCATCTCAGTCCATTAAGCTTCACAACTTCACCAATCGACTTGTCTTTCTTCCCTAGTAGCCTTCGCTTGACGTCAACATTGCTCACACGGAGATTCTAACAGAAGTGAGCAATGCTACCAAGACATCTGTGATCAAAACCCAGCAGTCGCTTCGTGTCTTCTACTTTCAACCACCATGCCTCACAGTCGGACAAAGCGGAATGCAATGCAGTATACTCGTCCCTTGATAGATAGTCGGATATGTCGCTTATCGGCGCCACAAATGAGGCAAGTTCGCAAATGCTAAACAAGTCTTCTGTATCCCAGCTGAGATTTCGTCACCAACCTCCGTATTCAGACTGATATAACTCCCCAAGTGATTGAAGTGGTAGTTACATTCCACCACATCAGTCCTTATCCTTAAAACAGAAGTAGTTGCAGACTAGTCCTAGAGCATCATCTTACACTTGACAGGCACCAACGAAATGCATGCCAAACATAATCAGATTTCTGCTCAACGTATCCAGAAGACCCTGCATTTCGCCAGCGTCTCCACTCAGCAAGACAATATCGTCTGCATACTCCAAATCAACCAGATGATCTCCAGGGAGTAGGTCAATCCCTGTGAAGTCACACGTACTGAAGGCTATACCCACTGGTACTGGTACATCTATAATGAGGTTAAACAAGAATGGTAACAGTGAACATCCCTGGAAAACTCTAGTTGTCATCAATTGACATGACAACTTTCCTTAAACCCTTAAACGGCTGCTTGAGTTCGAGTAGAGAGCTTTGATAGGCATCATATACTTTCTCGGTACTCCCTTCAGTTAGACACTGCCACAACACTTCACGGTCGACTTAGCTAAACACCATCTTTTGATCAAGAAATATGGCAAGTGTGGGCCATTGGCGGTATGTATGATTGCGTGCCAGGACCTGTCCCAGGGTAAAATCTGACCGACACACCTTCACCTAGGTATCAAAGTGCCTAGTCTTTTCGAGTTTGCTGTTTTGGAGCTGTTGTTTGGCGTCGAATAACTAAGGACCTGAGGATCTTGGACTCAATGTTAGTCGAACTAATTTATCTATAGTTGTCACAAGAAGACTTCTCTCCTTTCTTATAGAGTGGGATGGTCAGTGAAATGGACCAGTCTGACAGGATTACCTCTGATTCCTATACACTGACTGCCTCGTGCCTCCGTCACTTTAACCAACAATTTCTTACCTCCATCCTTTAAAACTTTGGGTGACAAACTGTCGGGTCCTACTGCTTTGCAT